AGCAAGTTCCAGGCCAGCCTCAACAACTTATTGAGACCCTGTCTCAAAACAGGACTGGAGATGTAGCTCAGTGGTATAAGCACCTTTGGGTTCAATCTCCAGAAAAAGAAAAAAAGTGAACCCCAAATTGTTTTTGTTTTGTTTTGTTTTGGGGAGTGAGTTGTCTGGAGGTGCTTTATCACAGAGCTACATCCCCAATCCTTTTTTTTTTTTTTTTCCTCATATTAAGACAGGGTCAGGGCTAGGGTTGTGGCTCAGGGGTAGAGCGCTCACCTAGCACAGGCAAAGCCCTGGGCTTGATCCTCAGCACCCCATAAAAATATTGTATCCAACTACAACTAAAAAATATCTTAAAAAAAAAAGGGGGGGTCTTACTAAATTGCAGAGGATCTTAGTTGCTGAGACTGACTTTGAACATACCATMCTCCTGCCTCAGCCTCCCAAGGAGCTGGGATTATAAGTCATGTGCCACTGTCCCTGTCTGGGATCCCAAATTCTGCTGCTGACTGCTCCTTTCAGCAGCTGAACAAATGTAGACCTTATCAGAGCCTGTGTACACAAATGGACATAATTTATCCAACCAGGCCTCGACATTTGCAGTCAGAGAAGAAATTTGACGTAAGGAAAAGGAGATGTCTGGAGAAAGCTTAGACAGTATAAATTTGTCTATATTTACAATAGAGAGTTAATCTGAGTTGATTATGTGTACAAATACACATTGGGAAATAAGATGTCACTGGGCACATGTCTGTAGTTCCATTAACTGGGGAGGCTGAGGCTGAGGCAGGAATATCATAAATTTGAGATCAGTCTTAGCAATTTAGCAAGACTGTGTCTCAAAAAGGATGGAGATGTAGCTCAGTGGTAAAGCAACCCTGGGTTCGATACCTGGTACCAAAATAAATTTAAAATGCCAATGTTTCATGGAGATGGGTTCCCCTCTTTGCAAACCAAGTAACAGACACCATCAACAGGATTATATATTAGTATGCCACTATCTTATGACTTCAAACTTCTCTAACCCCTATCTCACTTTTTGTCTAGAATCCATGAGAATTTCCCATCTTCTCACCCAATGGTTTATCCTGGTTTATCCTTCATTTTTCCCCTGGTCCTTCAAATTTATATTCAACTCCAAATTCCCAAATTTATTAAGTGTGAGGGAAATAAAAGTTATAGTCACCAAAACCTTTCAAAATTCTTTCAGAATTGGACTTGGTGGCCCATGACCATAATCCAAGAAAYTCAAGAGGGTCAGGCAGGAGGACTGGAGGATGTCAAGTTCAAGGAAATTTAGCAAGACCCTATCTCAGAAGAAAAAATAAAAAGGGCTTGGGGCTGTGGGGCTGGGTTTGTGGATCAGAGACAGAGCATTTGCCTCACACATGTGAGGCACTGGGTTCAATCCTCAGCATCATATTAACATAAATAAAGAAACTAAAGATATTGTGTCCTTCTATAACTAAAAAAAAAATTTTTTAAAGGGGGGAGCTTTGGGCTGTAGCATAGTGGAAGGGTGTACCTGGCTGGGTTCAATCCCCAGTATGTATGTATGTATGTATGAATGAATGAATGAATAAATGGAATAATTGTGTATATTAGGCAGGACTTTTTTTTTAAATACATGACAACAGTGGAATGCATTACAATCCTTATTATACATATAGAGCATAATTTTTCGTATCTAAGTATGAACTTTTACGTCAATTTATGCCATTATATATGTACTTTTTTTCATTACAATTCTTAATACATATATATACCACAGTTTTTCATATCTCTGTTTGTATATAAGGTATGTTGACACCAATTCAAGTCTTCATACATGTAGTTTGTATAATGATGACCATCATATTCCACCATCCTTGCTAATCCCTTTCCCCTTCCCTTTCCCTGCCACCCCTAGGCAGGACGTTTTTTGAAAGTATATGTATGGGAGCAAAAACTGTTTGAATGCCAAAGGGATGAATTATAATTTTATTAAAAATATAGCATCGGGGGCTGGGGATGTGGCTCAAGCGGTAGTGTGCTCACCTGGCATGCGTGCAGCCCAGGTTCGATTCTCAGCACCACATACAAACAAAGATATTGTGTCCACCGAAAACTAAAAAATAAATATTAAAAAAATAAAAATATAGCATCGGTTTCTCACACATTTTTCTGTGGAATTTTTCTTTTCCCGTTGTATGAGAGAGAGAGCAATCCTAGTCCTTGAAGGGCCTCTACTACCCAAAAGGTAAAGACATAGGTTTGGCCAATCAGTCTCTTTCTCCAATCTTGGCAGAATGATGCAAGCAAGTTGTAATAATTATAGTATTTTTCAGCAGCACTACTGTAAGAGAACTTCAAGCAGTTACTGTTTTCAGTAGTCTAAAACTGCTTGGTTTTTGTTTTTGAGTCTGGTTGTCCTGCTCTTTCTTCCATCCTGTGAACTTTTCATAACTGTTCAAATGATTTTTTTGTTTAGTATATTTCTTTCTCATTCTCCCTGCCTGCACCCTTTCTCTCCCTTTTTCCCCTCTTTCCTTCCTGGCTGCCATGAATGGAGTAGCAATCCTCTGTCACATCCTCCACCATGCTGTTCTCCCTCACCTTGGGCCCAGAAGAATGAACTCAGGCCCACTATAGTCAGAAATTCATGGTCAGAACTTGTGAAACCAGGGCTGGAGTTGTGGCTCAGTGGGAGGGCACTCGCCTAGCATGCACCAAGCACTGGGTTTGATCCTCAGCACCACATAAATGTAAAATAAAGATATTGTGTCCACCCAAAACTTAAAAATAAATATTAAAAAAAAAAAAAGAACTTGTGAAACCATGAGCCAAAATACACTTTTTCTCCTTTAAGTTGTTCTTATAGGGAGGGTATTTTGGTCACAGTGATAAAAAGATAACACAAGGGAAGCAAATTAGTTGAAATTAGTTGTGTCCTATAATGTTACTTTTCTGCATAACTCCATCTACATATAAGAGAAACTACACTTTCTCCTCTAGCAGTGTCTATTGTCCATTGTCCATCCATAGCTCTAACAAACTTTTTTTTTTTTTTTTTGTACTGGGGATTGAACCAAGAGGCACTTAACTACTGAGCCACATCCCCAGCCCTTTTTTGTATTTTATCTAGAGACAGGGTCTTACTGAATTGCTTAGAGCCTCACTAAACTGCTGAATCTGGCTTTGAACTTGAGATCCTCCTGCTTCAGCCTCCCTAACTGCTGGGATTTGGGGTGTGTGCCACTGTGCCTTGCCTCTAATCAACCTTTACAACTTTTCCTCAACAATACCTCCTAAACCCTCTATTTCTTTAGTTACCTGCCATAGCCTATTCATTACAGAAAACTGAAGATATAGCAACAATTGTTGCCAAGAGTTTGACATTTAATTTAGCTCCTGAGAATGATGGTTCTCTTTTTTTTTAAATTGTTTTTTAGTTATTGATGGACCTTTATTTTATTTTTATGTGGTGCTGAGGATTGAACCCAGTGCCTCACACATGCTAGGCAAGCACTCTACCACTGTGCTACAATCTCAGCCCAATGATGGTTCTCTTGATGACTGTAATAATCTAATTTGGATACWATTTAGGAGAGGGGAAATGTGATAGAAACACAGGATCATACTTCTTTGTTAACCTTTAAAATGCAAGTTTAGAGATTACTTAGAGGATTACTTCAATCTAGTGCTGTGGCACACACCAATAATCTCAGCTAATGTGGTAGGTCCAGAAGGAAGGAGAATCATAAAAATCGAGGCCAGCCTGGATAATTTTATGAGATCCTATCTCAAAACCAAAAAGGGCTGAGCCGGGTTAATCACCAGGTTAATTTGGATCATGATTAAATTGACTCCTATATCTGTTAATGAAGAGGTTGTTTTTGTTTTGCTGCTGTTGATGTTTTTCTTTTCTTTTTTTTTTCCTTACATGGGGATTTAATCCAGGGGCCTTGTACCAGAGCTACATCCCCAGCCCTTTTTTTTATTTTGAGACAGGGTCTTGCTAAATTGCTGAGGCTGGGCTTGAGTTTGCAATCCTCTTAGCTTCCCGAGAAGCTGAGATTACAGGTGTGCAACAAGGGGTCCAGCTAATAAAGTTCAAAGGTAATACTTTTTTCATTTATTAATGTCTCCTCAGTAAACTTTTTTTTGGGGGGTGCTGGGGATGAACCCAGGGCCTTGTGCATGCAAGGCAAGCACTCTATCAACTGAGCTATATCCCCAGCCCTATGTCTCCTCAGTAGGGCCATCGATAGTTATTACTAGAATGGTATTGGTAATGGACTCATATAATGCCCTTCACTTGGGAAGACTGATTAACCAAGCGTTGAGTTTCAGCCATAATCATTGCTGGGATGGTGGCTGATTACCGAAACCATCCAGCTTCATTTGTAAAACGGGGATCACTACAGCCGCTCTGTCATTACCCCCAAGAGATTGAGATTTAGTAATTAAGCACAGGCATAAAACGTTAACATTTAATACATTTGTGTCCTCATCTATTTTCCCAAGCTTTCCAACTAATCCTAAATGTTTATTAGGCCTCCAAATAGGCCAGGAATTCAGTAAAAGAAGGGARCCCTCTGCTCAGGGACTGGGAGAGAGGGACCGCAGCTCGGTATCGAACGAACTGGGGATGACTGGGTCCAGGTGAGTCAGATCACTGCCACGATGCTTGTCGCAGCCCAGGGACCGAGATGCGGGGTGGCGCCGAGGGCACCTCACCCAGATTTTGACCCGCGGGGGAAAAAAATGGGGCGGCAGCCGGGTGAGAGCAWCGCGGTACACCAGTTGGAGTAAACGCTACCCGACAGGGCGGCGAACCCCAGCGTTCGTGTCCCACCGGGATAAAGCGGGTGTGGAAGGAGGCACAAAATGGCGGAGCCTCACGTCCGAGGGTGGGCGACTCCCTGGCAGCGCGCGCTGCCAGACGGTTTCCGGACCTTCGGAACCGGAAGCGAGGCCTGGGCGCGCGCCCGAGAGAAAGTAAGTGGGGCCACTTTCCCGGAAGTGCCTGCGGCCTCTACCCTGCGCCTGGCCCCACGGTTTCCAYGGTTCCTGGTCTTGAGAGTGCTAGGGGAGGGAACCTGCAACTTGTCTGCTCGCAGTTCTCCTTGCCACCCTTGGGGAGGGCGGGACCCAGGACTTTGTCCTCTATAGAGGGGGAAGAATTTGGCGGACCCAAAGTCCAAAGCGTCATTCTCAGTAGTAAAGGAGAGGGACGAAATGGACGGCCTCCTAACTCCTAGGGAGTCCGCTAGATTTATTGCAGAAAATAGTCAGGATGTGTTCATTGATAGCGAAGGTGTGCGGAGGGTGGCCGAACTGCTGCTTGCCAAGGCCTCAGGGCCGGAGTTACGCKTGGAAGGGTGGAAAACTCTTCATGAGTTGAACCCCAGGGCCGCCGATGAGGCCGCGGTCAACTGGGTGTTTGTGGTAGACACGCTCAACTTCTCCTTTTGGTCGGAGCGGGATGAGCACAAGTGTCTGGTAACGTACAAGGGGAAGACCTACAGTGGGTACTGGTCCCTGTGCGCCGCAGTTAACAGAGCCCTGGASGAAGGTTGGTGTCCTGCTCGCGGTTGGACCCGGCAGCCTTTGAGGTTTTAGTTCTCTGGGACGCGGGTGGGGTGGGGGGGTCAGGGGCGGGTGTCAAGGACCGGGTTGGGTATTAGAATTATATGTTAGGGCGATCTTGAAGTTCTTCCTTGCTAGTCTCTCTGCTTAATATAAAAGCAAGAGAAGAAGCATATTCAATGGAAAATAACTTGCTTTTAGTATCTCACCATAGGAAAAAGAATGCCACTCTAGTGACACCTGAAGAACAAAGGGACAGATATTATGAAACGTAGTCAAAATGCATGTGATGGATGTTACTATTGCAATAGTTAGAAATGGGGAATAAGTAGTAGAAAATGAAGGTTTTGCTTTTGATTGCTATTTTATGCACTTCTAATGCATTTCTGCCCCACTTGATTTTACATAATTGCATGTTATAAAACCAAGAGTCTGCTGAATTCTCAAAGCATGACATTGTTCCTCTGATTTTTTWAATATTTTCTCTCTAAAGGAATACCAATAACTAGTGCCTCCTACTATGCCACAGTGACCCTGGATCAGGTTCAGCATATATTTCGTTCTGACACAGATGTATCCATGCCTTTGATAGAAGAGAGGCATCGGATTCTCAATGAAACCGGGAAAATTCTACTGGAGAAGTTTGGAGGATCTTTTGTTAATTGTGTCAGAAAAAGTGAAAAAAGTGCACAGAGGTTAATGCACCTGGTTGTTGAAAATTTTCCTTCATATAGAGATGTGACTCAGTTTGAGGTGTGTTTTTTGTTTGTTTGTTTAGCATTTAAGAAGTCTTAATAGTTCTCTCAGTGTTAATTCTTTTTCTTCCAGAATTCATTTTAAGAATAAAAGCTTACACCAGGTGTGGTGGTACATGCCTGTAATCACAGCAACTAGAGAGGCTGAGGCAGGAGGATGGTAATGAAACCTGTCTCAAATAAAAAAAATTTAAAAAGGACTGGTGATGTAGTTCAGTGGTAAAGTGTCCCTGGGTTCAATCCCCAGTAAAACAAACAAACAATTTCTTGCAAAGTTCAGTGTATATATACTATGTATTTTCTTTTTCATACACAGTATGCTTTCACAATATTATTTGTTTTTAGTACAAAAAGTTATTTTTTTTTTTTAAATGCTGGGGATTGAACACCAGGGATGCTTAACCACTGAGCCAGAGCCCTTTTTATTTTTTATTTTGAGAGAGGGTCTTGCTAAATCTTTTAGGGCCTCATTAAATTGCTGAAGCTGGCCTTGAACTTGTGATCCTCCTGCCAAGCCACTGGGATTACAGGTGTACACCACCATGTCCAGCCAAGATTTTTTAAATTGCAGGTCACACACACACATACAAAACTAGAAAAAACTTAAGCAAGAATCTTTAGATGGGTGTTTGGGATAGGAACATACCAGATTAGGGATTCAAATGCCAGCAGCATTCAGCCTCTCATCTTTGCCTTTGTTAGCTCCATGTATCTATAGACTAACTTTCTCCCTGCAGTGAAAAAACTAAAGGTTAATGTCCTTGCATTATTTGCATTTTATTTCTTTGGCCACTGGACAGAAAGAAGGAGGGAGATACTTTTTCTCCATGCCAATTCTAAAACTCCTGGACAAAAACTGATTGAACTGGCACAGATTATGACCAGCTCAGTACTGCTGCTGGGAATGGATGGAGCAGAGAGGCAGTTCCTAGAACAGAGTCTGTAGGCCACTGCTGAATTCCATTCTGTTTTATTTTGATAATGCAAAGGTTACTTTGAAATTCATCTTTGTCTTCAAAGTATGTCATTTCAGAAATTATGAATCAAGTTCCTTGGTCCATCATTGAGGCTAATTATGATGAACAGTATGTAAAAGAAATCCATCTGCCAGTCATGTGGCTGGTAATCCATGTATTCCAAAATCAACATTTTCCCAAATGTAACAACAAAACACACTGAAGAATTCTTGCTGGGCATGGTGGTACATGCCTGTAATCCCAGTGATCAGGAGGCTGAGGCAGGAAAATCACAAGTTCCAAGCCAGCAAGTAAATAAAAAAGAAAAAGGATCAGGGTTTTGGGCTCTGAGGTAAAACATCTCTCGGTTCAATCCCAAGTACCCCTCCCCCATAAGAAAAAGTTAACATGAATTATGTTGCAATCAGATACACACACACACACACACACACACATTTTATATATATATATAATATTTAAACTAAAGTTTTAAACTTTTCAAAAAACTACTATCTAGATGTTAAAAATAACTAGTTGGGGTCAGGTGATGTGGCTCATGCCTGTAACCTGAATTACTCAGGAGGCTCAGTCAGAAGGATCACAAGTTAAGGCCAGCTTGGGCAATTTAGTGAGAACTCATCTTAAAAAAAATAAGAAGGGGGCTGGGGATGTGGCTCAAGCGGTAGCGCCCTCGCCTCGCATGCGTGCGGCCCGGGTTCGATCCTCAGCACCGCATACAAACAAAGATGTTGTTGTGTCCGCCGAAAACTAAAAAATAAATATTAAAAAAAAAAATTCTCTCTCTCTCTCTCCCTCTCCCTCTCTCTTTACATTCAAGCCCTTCTTATTTTTTTTTTAATGTGGTAAAGTAACACTGGGGTCAATTTCCAGTACTAAAAAAAAAAACTAGTTGAATTATAGTGACACTAAAATATGCATATGAAGTAATGTTATTGAAAAAGAATACTAAATAGTACCGGGATTACATAATTTATATTTTATGTTCTTTGAAATAGGAAGCAAATCTTGAGAATTAGAGATAACTATGTTAGATTCTTTTGTTTTCTATAAATTCTTTTATTTATTTATTTAATTTTTATGTGGTGCTGAGGTTTGAACCCAGTTCCTCATGCAGGCTAGGCAAACACTGTACCACTGAGCCACAATCCCTGTCCTGTTTTCTATAAATTCTAAAAACAAGACTATTCTGCTCTTTTTTTAAAAAAATATTTTATTTTTTTTAGAGAGAGAGAGAGAATTTTTTTTTTT